ATGCTAGGTTCTGGCACCAAATCCAAATCCTTTTCTCCAATTTAGGTTTCATTATGAGAGTAAAATGTTAAGGAATCCCCTCAGTTAACTCCTTCTGGGTCCTGACACATTTTCTCTTCCTCCCATGCACCTTAAAGTCACTGATCCTTTCCCTATAAGCTGATCCTTCACCTATACTTTCTATCTCATGAGGGCCCTCACTTAAACATATTCTCTGTCATTATGACCTTCTCCCTCCTGGTGGCTCATATTCTTCAATTTCAAGAAAAGAGACTGGCATATAGTAAGTGCTTAGTAAATGTGTGATAAATAACTAAAGCATTAAACATACATTTTTAAGTATTTGCTGAACAATTTTTAAAAACAGCTTAATTGAGGCATATTGATATACAAAAATGTATAATTTAATGTATACAATTTGATGATTTGGACATAAGAATTCGTGTGTGGAAACCATCACCACAAGCAAGATAATAAACATGTTCTACATTTTAACTTTGTCATCCCATTGTTACCTCAAACCTAACAGGAAAAAAAAGAAGTAAAGCAACAAACCTATTTCCACACAAATATTTATTCTTTTATGATGTAAGACATGTTTTTCTTTGAAGTATTCAGTTATAAATCATACTTAAGTTGAAGATATGTCCCCTTAAACAGAAATCATTAACGTCCTACTAGATCTGGCTCTTCTCCATGACTTTCCAATTATTTAAGATATATCATAATTCTCCCAGTTACCCATATTAAATACTACAAAAGCTTATATTCCTCTTTCCTTAACTGGCTAATTGTTAAATCTGGTAATTTTTCTTCATAGTATTAGACGTATGGAAGGCAGTTAATTCAAGGCCCATTACATCTGAACAGACATAATTGTCCCACTGAAATAGCCTCAGTAGATCAAATGGCCTCAAATCTCTCAATTATCCAGATCATCAATTAATCCAATGTTGAGATTGCTCTTCCTATATATAACTTTGTTCATTGAGTCTCCCTTATTCAGAAATGTATAATATAATGGCTAGCCCAAAGGCCAAAAGCCTTTCTTAGAAGTCAAGAACTATTGTAATCTGGAGCCAATAAAAATTTTCCAATTTTACCTTCTATTATGTCTCTAGAACAGTGTTTCCCAAAGTGTGGTATGCGTACCCCCAGGGGTATGGGAAGAATTTGGTGGGGGTACGCGTTGCACCGGAGTTTGGTGGGGATATGCACTGCACCGTGCTTAGCTGCGTCTAATTCTACGTTCTCATGATTACAAGGGGTACTCAGAGTCACGAAAATTATAGAAAGGGTACACATATGTCAAAGTCTGGGAAACACTGCTCTAGAGGAATTCTTCATCATAGTCCATGTGATTTTTATCCCATTCTCAAAGACTGTGTGCACACCCGCATTTGGCAGATGTGCCCTTCCTTGTCTACACACATTTTCTCAAAATTTTTCTCTGTAGATCCTAACAACAATCCTTTGGGGTTAGTTTATCATCTGTAAATCTTCAACACTTCCACTCAGAAAATTCTATTATAAAGTATTACATATTTTACATTAGTTGATATTTCATGTGTTAGATTTAACTCCCTGACAACATTTTAAGATTTTTAAAGGTAGAGATCATTTAGTATATGTACTTATGTATCCTTCTCAGAGCCCAGTAACTAAGTTCACCAATGCAAGCCAATGTTTTCTACCTCTTAGACTTAAAGTGTTAAACCTCATTTCCATCTCAAACCTCAAAGCTGAAACCATTCAAAAATAGTACCAATTTGATCATATTTAAGGATACATGAAAGCTAATTTTTAAATTCTTTAGCAAGAACTTAAAAAAATTATTTCACAAGAGACATAACATAAAGCACACCATAACTTAGCACTCCAATTCAACATTTAACTTTATTCTCCTACCTATATTTTATAAAATATTTAACAACCAGTTTAAAATACTAGTCTTTAGAAATACCAATGCAGGTTCTAAAGGGAAATAACAAACTTAAGCATGATTTATAACTAAAAATTTCAAAGGAAAAAAACATGTTTTAAATCATTAAAGAGTAAATATTTCAGTGGAAAGAAACAGGTTTATTGATTCGTTTTTTTAAAGTTGTGCTATAAAAAGTTGTGCTTTAAATATTTTTCAAGAGTTTAGCTCCTGGTATGGAAAATTCCTTTAGTTATATACTAAAGAAGTAAGCACAAATTAAATACAAAAAAAATCATATCCTTGACATTTGGTGTAATGTGGCAAAAATGTTCATTACCACAATATTAAGAAATATCAACAATGAGTTTGAATAACTAATTCATAAGGAAGAGTTTAAACTGGACCAAATCCTGGATTTTCTTTCGTCACTCCAAGTTTCTTTTCTATTTTAAACTAGTGGCAACAGAAATTTCTTTGTTTGAAAGTCAGGAATGCTGGAAGTCTTAAGTGATAGAACAGGTAGCTCAGCTTTTACTTCACATCTCTCCTGGGGCAGGGGGTGAGGGGGAGAAAAACATTGTGGATAAAGTAATTTTGTTTTTATTTCTGGAAAAATCATTTTTTCCATCAATCTTTGTAATTCTCTAAAATAAACTGTTAAAAAGTTATAGGCCAGGCAACCACTTCATCCTGATTTGTGGAAATACTTACTATACATTAATTTCAAGAACACATGGTTAATCCAAGATTGTTTTTTTTTTTACTAGTCTAAAGGTCCAAAAGTTACTCCTAACTCTTTAACAAAACTCTAGGGGAATTTCAAAAGCTCATGATATATTTCTGCATCTCATCTGCAATATTTTTGAACAAAAGAATAGTAAAAGAAATCTAGGCTCAAGTCACACTGCATGCCGTTAAATTTATTTTTAGAGTACTGTACAATTTTAACTGTGGAAAACATTTGTGTTGTACCAAATGTTTAAAAACTACATATACAAGAAAATGGAAATAAGAAGTTCAGAATTCACCATTTTTATTAAGATGGAGAAAGTGACAAAAAATATTTCTCTCTTCTTTGCTAATATTGAGAGATTGCACTCGCCTAATTATGTTGAACAAAGTAATCACAACTTTGGGAAGGCATAAAGTGAAAGGTAGAATTTATCATTTAAAATACATGATTCATATTTAAACAATTTTAATTAACATTTAGCAATTCCAGAGATAGGGAACTCAGATAATTCAACAAAGCTAAGAGCAGTAAGAAATACTGAATAGCAAGCAGTTCCTAAACCATATAAATCAAATAAAGACAAATCAAATAAGGACCAGAATCCATATAAATCAAATAAAGTCAAGACAAATTAAATAAGCCCCAGAAACTATTTTCTCTTTTAGTACACATATTTTTCCAGCACACAGAGTTTTTCACAACCAGGAACTTGGTAAAGGGGAGGCACTCACTCTGCTGACAAATACAAGCAGACTCTCCAGCACACAATGGAGAGAAAAGCTTGAAAACCCTCTGAGACCAACTTTACATCTGTAAAGATCTTTTCTCCACATAATGGAAAGAAGGGCACAGTGAGAAAATTTTCACACTTTCTTCCAAAACTGTAGTGTTGCAAACTACTAATTCACTTAATACAATCAAAGGCAGAACTGAATGAATGGGGTGTGGGGCAGGGCCCATGGGGGGAAGAGGAGGGAAGTGGGGGTGTCCTGAAAAGAAAAAAAAAACTTGGGGGGGGGGGGCATTTTGTAAAACTTGAATAAATTAACATTTTTAGAAGCCCTAATATTTCTTATTTTTTATTAAATACACACCGACTTCCTGGGACTCAAATTAGACTTGCTCTATACTTTATTCAGTTAAATAGCCTGGTGCTTAGGACACACTGGAGCCATAAGATTAGATATATGGCTAACACAAATGGTTCTTTTTTTTTGGGGGGGGGGGGAGAATATCTTAAAAAATAACTTTTTTGTGACCATGTATAATATGTGACAGATTGCTTAAAAAAAGATGAATGTCATGCATCAACTAGCAGTAAATTGAGACCCTAATGAAATATAAGCTATTTACTAATGAAAAAAAGTTTTTTGAACTTGGAAAAAGTTTGCTTTCACATTTTTAGAAGACAATGAGAGAATGAGGCTTAAGTGTTTTTAGTCTCTATTCATAAGTAGGTTGTGTAGGCTATGTGACAAAGGAAAAAATAAAACGTGAATGCTTAAAACTTAGTAGACTTGGATAACATTTAGTAGCTAGCTTGAAATGCACCAATTAAAAACAGTAAAAAGTATGGCTATAGCTATTTCTTCTTTAATAAAATGAAAATATAATAAGGGGGCTGGGCAGATCTCCAGTAAGAAGTTGAGTCCCATTGCAAAAGCCCCTTATCCAGTACAAAAAGCTTCCTTTAACCACAAGCAACAGTCATCTTGTGGGAAAGGCAGAGGAGGGGGCTAGAGAGTCATCTCCTAGGTGACTCTGATATGGGATCCCACATTTCTCACACTGAACTATGGGGTCAGGCCAGGTGGGGGAGTGAGTTACAACTTTGCCCTTAAACTGCACCAAAAAGGGAAACGAAGTCACATCGCGCTTAACTCAAGGCACACAGGAAGAGCCCAATTCAACGTCGCCGCCAACAACACCCTCTTGTCTCGCTCCGCCCCAAGTTGTATGTGTTGCGGGGGGAGGGAGGAGGCACAACTTGGGTTCTATCCCACAGATCCAGAGGCACCTCCGTCTTACCCAAGTGAAGTTCTCCCTCCTCCAGCGCCCAAGGGTATCACTCAGCGGGCGCAGGTGTATCACTCCGGCCTGTTTTTATAATCGCCCCCCATCTCGACATCGACGGGCGCCCCAGTCCTCCCCCGCCTTCCCAGCACTGGGCACCACTGAGCCTGAACACCACACAACACTTCGAGCCCAGTTCCCAGGTCACCTGGCCAGAGCGATCGGCCCAGCCTTCGGGGGAGTCCTGGGGCCGCCTGGCAATGCCAGTGCCCAGAGCAGAAGGCTCCCGGGCAGTCACGTGGGTGCCAGGGGCGGCCTGAGCTTCCTCACCTGCATCCCGGGCACTCGGACGGCCACCGGTGAGTGGGCCATGAAAGCGATCGCTGCTCCGCGCTGCTTCGGTGCTGCTGGCGCCTCGGGCTGGGACTGGCTCCTCCTCCAGGGGTAGCTCCGCGGCCCTCCCAGGCTTTTCGACCCGGGCCTGGAAGGACACACAGAAGTGGGGTTACTGGGCTAGTGGCGCGCAGCCACGGGCTGGGAGGTGGGCATTTGGCGGCGAGACTCCCCGGGACTCAGTCTACCTTTTAGGGCGCCCCCCGGCCGCTGTTGCCGCCTCCTCGGTTGGTGCTCCTACTCCTGAATTCGGGGAGCTGTGCGCGGCGGTAGCTGGGACCTGGGCTCCAGTGATGCCGCTCGTCTGCGCCTCGCCGCTTTAGGAAGAGGAGGTGGAGGCGCCCCAGCAACCCGCCCGCTCGGCTGGGCTGGTCCGGGAGGCGGTTGGGGGCGGTCCCACCACTGGCCCTGCCCCCGCCCCGCAGCCGGGCGGTGTCTAGAGACTGAGACTCTTGAGTGCAGGGGTTTGCCTGGAGTTGCTGGAGCCCGAGAAGGTGGAGACTTCAGGCGCGCGGAGGGGAGAAGCCAGGGACTGGGGCATCTGGAACACAGCTCGGCCTGGACAAAGACTGGAAGAGTTTGGGTGACTCTGGGAGTAAGAGGACGTCCCAGACGCGGCCACGTTGCAGGCAGGCGTGCAAGGCTGGGGCACACGAAGCCTGGGAGACCTTTTGAGTTGAAACTCGGGGAGTGCTGGCATCCTGAGCTGGGCAAGGGTGGAGGCACAGAAAGCCACACCTAGTCCTGGAGTGGGGTATCCCCAGCTTGGGGCCCTCACGCCTTGGGGCAGATCCATAGTCACTCTCCTGCTTTCAGGATTCCCTGCCCCTAGATATTCTTCAGGTGACTTAAATCTGAGGCTACCCGTACATCGTATGATACCACTTGGTGGGCGGCAGCCAGACTGGGGGTTCTCTTCATAACAAATACTGCAGGTGTAAAAGAGAGGTAACTTGGAAAACAGATGATTCATCCACAGAAATTTTAACGAGAATAATAGAGGTATGGGAAATGAGATTGGATCAGTGACAGTACATATTACTGGACGGTGGTTTTAGCAACTCCCTGCCTCCACCCCATGTTAGGTTGCACTCCAAGAGGGAGTAAAGCCTTTTGAGAGTACCCTAACAATAACAGTAACAATGATAATAACAATTACAGGAATCTCATGAAGGGACCTCTGGGAACCCACAGAAGTTACTTATATTTTTAAAATGTAATATCCAAGTGCTAGTCTAAAATGAGGATGGAATTTCCTATCTTGCAGGTTGTTACAGGTCTGTACACAACATAATGTTAGGGCTCTAGTTGACACGCATTTCTTTTGTTCCTTTTGAACCTTTCTCGAAAGACAGACTTATTGTTATCAAAATTGTTACTGTTAATGGATGCCATTGTCTTTGTACCAGAGACTGCTAAATACTATACGTGTTACCTTGCTGAATCTTTACAAGGGCCCTCTGAGGTCATATAGCCTCCCACCCCGCCACACACACACACACATTTTACAGATTTTTTAAAAAGGCTCAGTGAAGTTAAATAATTTTATTTTTTAAAAATAATTTTTTATTGATTTCAGGGAGGAAGTAAGAGTGAGTGATAGATAGAAACGTAAGTGATGAGAGAGACTCATTGATGAGAGAGAACCATCTAGCACACTCCACACTAGGGATCAAGCCCGCAACGCAGGCATGTGCCCTAACTAGGAATCTAACAATGACCTCCTGGTTCACAGGTCAAAACTCAACCACTGAGTCACCCTGGCTGGGCAGGTTAAATAATTTGATGTAAAATTTCACACAATTAAGACATGGTAAAGCTTGGAATTAAAATGCAGGTATCTCTAACTTTTAAGATCTATTCTGTTAGCAAATTTTAAGTATACAAAATAGTATTGTTAACTATAGTTACTGTGCTGTACATTAGATCCCCAGAACTTATTTATCTTATAACTGGAAATTTGTACCCTTTGACCACCTTCACCAATTTTTCTTATCTCCTGCCCCTGGCAACCACCAATCTACTCTCTGTTTAAATTTGTTATTTTTTAGATTCAACATATTTGTATTTCTCAGTCTGATTTATTTCACTTAGCATAATGCTTTTCAAGATCCATTCATATTGTTGTAAACGACAGGATTCCCATCTTTTTTACGGGTGGGTAATATTCCATTTAATGATAAAATTCCATTCAGATGATAAACTATATAATTGAGTTTCCCTTAATCCTTGTTTCCCAAGTCCAGGCCCTCACAACTTCAAATATGATGACAGTCCCCAAATCCAGTCTCTATTTCCACTAGCCACATTGACAAGAAACTTGCAGTGTGACCTAAACTTAAATGTCCATAGAAATTCCCTGGGATTATCTTTAAAGTGCAGATTTTCACTTAGCAACTCTGGAGTGAGCCTAAGATTCTGCATTGCTAACAATTTCACAGGTGGTGTCAATACTGCTAATTCTTAGACCACACTTTGAGTAACAAGGGTCTTAATCAAGTTCCAGTAGCTAAGGTTCATCTCAGATCCCATCCCCATGGAGCCTTCCTTGTTGTTCCAAGCCCTCCTTCAAATTTCTCCTATCACATGTCTATGGAAGCAGCACTCACATTGTAGTTTTTCTCTTATTTTATGCATTGCATTTGTTTAGTTTGCCCAACGCGATTATTAGGTCCCTGAGGCCAGAGATCCAAGTTCTCTTACATAAGGATTATTCAGGTAGGATGCCAACTCTCAGTGGGCAACATTCTTGTCAGTTTGGATCATTGCTGTATCCTCAGAGTCTAGGACAGGGTGATTCTTGTAGTGGATAGAGGCCCTGGAATGCTTCTAACCATCCTCCAATGCACATGACAGGCCTCACAGCAATGAATTACCCAGCCCAAAATGTCAACGGTGCCAATATTTGAAAATCCTTGTTCCCACTCTTTAAATTAGGGATCTCTAACTAAGAAGCAGACTGAGGGATCACTGTTCCCTGAGGATTTCAGTACGATATGGTGGCTGTTCCTCTTCCAAAACAACAATAACAAAACCCACAAAATACTGGGCTGCATCAAGGGGGTATTGGAAACAAAGCAGTATTTTTATATTATTTTTGTATTAAATTATAGATCACCTGCCCCAAAGAGTGAATACTACTTAATGAAAACTACTATTGAAAAGAAAATAGCTAACTTTAAGAAATGTAATGGTTATGTTTAAAAAATGTTTAATCGTGGAGCATAGTTTAATGTACCAGGCATTAGCTAGGAACATTCAAATGTGATACCTCATTGAGATAAATTTGACTTCTTATTCCACTTTACAAAATTTAAAAGTGTGCTTTCACATTTTAAGCTTTCATATTTTGAGCCTAATAACCAGTGTATAAATTATATAAATGTATGAAGTTTAAGGGCAAATTGATACAGTCATCTGGATTTCTTTTAATTATCTATTTATTTAAAACTAAAGGAACTTGCCGGGACCGGTTTGGCTCAGTGGATAGAGCGTCGGCCTGTGAACTGGAAGGTCCCGGGTTCGATTCCGGGCAAGGGCATGTACCTTGGTTGCGGGCACATCCCCAGTAGGGGGTGTGCAAGAGGCAGCTGATCGATGATTCTCTCTCATCGATGTTTCTAACTCTCTATCCCTCTCTCTTCCTCTCTGTGAAAAATCAATAAAACATATTTAAAAATAAAAATAAAATAAAACTAAAGGAACTTGTCTGAGTAATTCTAGAAGCTCATGATCCAGTAATAAGAATATTTTCATTAAAGTTCTGGACTCTACTAACATTTGGAAGGACAACATTTAAGAGTCCCTTTTTATCTTTTTTATTTTTTTATGTAATGGCATGTTTGATAGCTCAAATCTCCTCTTTACTCTCTGTGGGTATCAAATTGGAAATCAGATGTTGCATCCTTGCTATTGTTCTAGCAAAGCATCCCCAGGGAAAACCTATTGAATTGATTCTTGGTGAAGGAGCATTAAACCTATGTGATTTCTTCTCCTGAGTAACCTTGCACCTTTGTGGGATTGCACAATACCACAGTATCATTTAAAACAAAACAAAACAAAAAAAATTAGAACAACATTTTTCTTGCTAGCTTTACTTCCTGATGTTACTGAGGTGAATAGAGCAACAGAGGAGGTGGGGGGAAGCAGATGCTGCTTAGGTGGTTTCCTGCTTATAACATTTCTTTACATATATGCTTACTGACTTTGAAATATTTGCATTTAGTGAGCCCCAAACATTGAGGAGCTCATAATTTCTTGCCTTTACCAATTGGTTACAAAACTGAGAGAGGAAAACATGGTCCAGACAATCTCATTCAGATGTAGAGGTAGGAGTCAAAAGACGCAATGTTAAAGAGAATCTTCCTGGTTTCAGTTTTCTGCATGCCTAAACTCTCACAGAATTGCACTGTTAATCTTTAAATGCCATCGTCCCAAGGTGAAAGAATTCAGAAGCCTAAATGTACTCATAGTTGCTTCAGTGGTGAAAAAACCACTGTCTGCTACACCACTCATCCTATAATGATAGTTTTGTGTTGCCAAGGAGGGACATGAAGAGACTGGAGAGTTTCTTAGAACAGAGTCTTTGGGTGACTAGACTCTTTGTAATGAAGTCAGGTAACTTCTTTGTGCTCTTCAGTGTGCAGTTTTTAGTCACAGGAGAACCTTTCATGTGCTTCTATGAAGTGATGCTAAGCAAACAGTTTGGGTGATATTTTCCCCTCTGAATTAACTTCTTAAAATGTCTTGAATTGACCACTTGTTCTTTAATTCGTAGGCTTCTCAAGAAAACAACTCTAGTCAAAGGTGGCAGTTAAAAACAGAAAAAAAAAAAACTGGCAGTTGAGACCAAATAGGAAGTGACTATGCCATCAGCTCACACTGAGGAAAAGGAAGTTGTTGCCAGGACCTCTAAGAAAGGCAGTTGTGTAAAATTACCACCCTTCAACTTGCTTGCTGAAGTTCTGTCACTGTGGTAA